CCGAGTTTTCCTTAAATATCTCAAAAAATATTAGGCAAATAAAAAATATTTCATGCAAAACCTGTTCAAATTAATTGGTAGAACAAGATGATGTAATAAAAATTTGGGTTTCCATTAAAAAAAATTAAGTTGACCCTGACCAGACCTTGGCAACGTCACTCAAGGTCAAACGGATAAGATTAGTAGATAGACCTCTTGAAACCCTACAACATTTATATTTAACATTTTTTTCTAAAACGTAACTCGTCTGAGATATTCAGGGGTCCGGGGACTTTTTATACATATACCTATATAAAGGGTGTTGCAAAATTCACGCAAGAAGTAATTTTGATAGAAAACACAGGTTTATAATTAAAAATTGTAAATTTTTTATTGATTCATAAAGTATACAGTATAAGGTTATGTATAGAATAGCATATCGGGTAAATGGCCTCCACGGCTTTGCTGGCACATATGCACTCTTTTGTTGAAATTTTCCATGACCGTTTTGCATAAATGTGGCTGAATTTCGTTGATACAGCGCTCAATTTCCTCCTTCAAGGCGTGGATGGTCGTGGGCTTGTTGGCATAAACCTGAGACTTCAAAAAACCCCAAAGAAAAAAGTCCAACGGCGTTAAATCGTATGATCGGGGCGGCCAAATCTGATCACCAAAACGGGAAATTACACGACCAGGAAATGACTCATGCAGCAATTGAATTGTTTCTCGGGCTGTATGGCATGTGCCACCTGATATAAATTGCAAGATATGGATGTGGTTTCTTGTTGAAACCATCCACATCTTGCAATTTAGGCACAAAAAACTGGATTATCATGTTTCGCGATAGCGAGCACCATTAACTGTTATTGCCTGACCAGCCGCATTTTCTTCCGAAGAATGGTCCGATGATGCCTCCAGCCCAAAATCCGCACCAAACAGTGACACGTTGTGGATGCATTTATTTCTCAACAATCACTCGTGGATCATCTGAACTCCAAATGCGACAATTTTGTCGATTAACCAAGCCATCAAGATGAAAATGAGCCTCATCGCTGAAGATGATTTTGTTCGAAAAATCAGCATCCACTTGTTGTTGTTCCACAATCCATTCAACGCGTTGTTCTTTCGTGTAGCACTCCATTTTAAAAACCCTGAACTGTCAGCTGTCACGCTGTCTTTTTTTTCGTTGGCAACACTTTACCGCACAAATGGCGCAAAATTCAAATCTTGCGTGAATTTTAGGACACCCTTTATAACCTTAAGAGGATTCCTCTAAAATTGAAAGGAAAATATTATAAACATATTATTCTTAAAATTAGAGAAATTATATGTTATATGTATAATGCAAATCTTATTGATTTTAATATAAATTATAATTATAAATTTAATATAAATATAGATTATTTAATCTCTTTTAAAAGGATTATTGTTTATTCTTTATTGTGTGATCGACATTGTATGAATAATACCAAAGAGATAACGGAGAAATGGCATAGTGTTTTTTCCTCCTCATAAAAAGACAAGCTTTATTTCTACTGCAAAGTAAATATTAATATACATTTACATATGTGTGTGCGTTCTCTACGGAGAGAGATATTCGTTTGCATGTTTGAGCTTTATGATTGAGTTTCAATGATTTATTATCGTAAGACTGCAAATGTTACTTTTTGACGTTCAAAGTTAATGACGATATCGTGGATGTTTCACATGAAGTATGCAGCATATGATTTGATGTATTGTAAAAAAGTATTCAGAGAGACGCGTTCTTTCCATAGCGCGCTATAAATAATACTAGTTTAGCTAGCTTTTTTCTTCTTTCACGCTCGCGTGGCGGGAGCCAGTTTTATAAATGGCCAACACGCGACGAACGATAGAGCACAGACGCTCGGTCAGAGCAAAAAGGAGGAGCATGGTAATCATAAATATAGCGAGACCGCGAGAAGGGCTGTAATGTCTTTTCGTTGATCGGCAGGTGAGGTGCACCGTTGTGACGCGTCGCATGTTCGATTTATCATACCAGGCTCTTGATATCATCAACTGGCTCGTCCTTAGCGAGAGTTTACTCGACGAGATAATATTTTCGTGATATGTATATCGAGAAATTATTACGGGTGATTCTTCGGGATCACTTATGCGTTACTAATTGCTCATTGTGACTAATCGCTCATTGTCGTCGATTAATCAAACGTACCGTTTATCGTCGAGGACGTCGTGAATCGCGCTCGCGCGATCCACGTCGGGGAAATTGCGGAGGTCAACTTGCCGAACGACATCTCTCTCTCTCTCTCTCTCTCTCTCTCTCTCTCTCTCTCTCTCTCTCTCTCTCTCTCTCTCCCTCCCCCCTCTCCCTCTCCCTCTCCCTCTCCCCCTCTCTCTCTCTCTCTCTCTCGACTGGTCTATTGATTATGTATCCATAGTCGTACATAATGGGAATCCCTACGAGCAGCACAGCGTAGTGGATAGCTTTGTCGGTACTTTGAACGCCACCTTGGCTTGACGACGAAGGCTTTAATGTTCGGATGAGCTGCAATTATACTGATTATTATTTCAAGGGAAAATATAGCGTCACGATGTCGTAACAGTTTAATAGTTTGGAATTATACCCGGAACTCCTTGCTGCGGAGTCTACTTCGTTAGGAAAACGTTATCCGGTATTCCCGGCAGGTTTTCTTTTTCGAACTTTTAGAGAACCTTACACGCGGTAACTTTGATAACGCTTTAATGAACGTGTTTAATTTTTCCTTTGAAAAGCTGCTCGAATTAATATGGTGGTTCCCAAGGCTCGTATAAACGGATTCTTCCGTCGCCTTGTTGAGGAATTGTTTTAAAACAACAATTCTACAGTTACGAATTAAAAGATGAAAATTTACTCTACAATAATGAATTAAAAGATGAAAATTTATGTCACGGTATTTCGCCGGAAAGTGAAGAGAGAGAGAGAGAGAGTGAAACTCGCTTCAGTCAACGGATGGATCGTACATTGCGCCGTAGATTGAAACTTTTCGTCGGTGCTTGCCGACCCGCGCACATGTATCGATTCGATCGTGATAATATTATATAAATATACCTTCGGCGAAGATGGCGGTTTCTCCTGGCGATGTATAAGTTATTAAAGTAGATTATGTTCGGCGTTACCGGTTTGGCGTACGTAAACGCGCTCGATCGCTCCGTGAAAAATAGACTCATGTTTTCTGTCGTCACCTAAATATTTTCGGGCTGTTTCCTGCTGCTGTGGCATGTAGATGTGAGTCCGGCGGTAAATACAGGTCAGCATTTCGAGATGAAACGGGTGCCTGAAATCGGCATGTTTTTATTCTCAATTCCAAGAAACATTCGTTGTGTAACTCGCATCGAATTTGAAAAAAATGTCGATCTTTCCGACGTCGCGTCGTCTAATCTAATCTTTTGGTCCCTTCAACGTACGGGTTGTTCTCACTCATTAAAGGTGGCTCCGCACATCGCTTCTGTGATAATTCTCATTTCAGAATGTTCGAACGTCGCCTTGTTAACAGCGTTTAATATATTCCATGTGCTCGGTTTGCTCGGTCTCCCATCGTGACCTAGATAAATAGCGAGTGATGAATCCCATACAGTCGGACATAACATTTAGGAAGGCGAAATCGATTTCCGTGCAGTTGCTTAATGTCGCGTTCATCGACGCAACGGCCACGACTAATTCGTGACCCCGTTTGTACAGGGCTAGCCACAACGGCCGAAACACCACTAGATGATTGTATGCGGAGAAGGGCGATGACCAGGATTCTCTCGCAATTTACCGCTTCGGGTGACGCGAATATCCATAGTAGCGTAGTAACCGACCTCGAGGCTCCTTTCGTCTGCATCTTTCTCGTTAATACTGTACCGATGTGCTGTGTGATCTGTCGCTGACAGAAGCACAAAACTCGTCTTATTTAATAAGTTCACTAGAGGACGAGCCCACACGCGACTTACTGATTTTCAAAAGAGGCCAATGTTACACATGCGTAGCAATAACTACGTTTTATTCCACGCACTTCCACATAAAGCAATAAGCAAAATTCGTTTTACATTATTACCTTAAAGACCTAAAAATATAAAATAATTCACGGCTGTTAAACGGATGATATCATGGCTAATGTATTAATTTGTTAAATTTATACATGGCATAGATTACACGCGACTATCTATATAGACTGCAGATTAACTAACTCTGAGATAATACAAGACATCAATATCATTGAACGTGAGCGCAAGGACGGATCTGACAAATATTAGTATTCGTCGTAATTATGATAATATATCGCATTTTATCGTATTGGGTGAGTGCAAAAGTTCGTGCGGAGTTTGTGAGTAAAAGTCACACAGTGATTAGGCAAACAAAAATCTTTATTCAATCAATGATATATTCTCCATCGTTTTCTATAATCTTTTCCCAACGTTCTGGCAGCATACAGATGCCTCGATCATAAAAACTGCGCGGTTTAGATTCGAAGAACGAAGAGACGCCGTTTTTTAAGGCCTCCAAAGAGTCAAAGTTTTTTCCATTTAAATAATTTTGCAATGACCGGAACAAGTGATAGTCAGATGGTGCGATATCAGGAGAATACGGTGGATGCGTTAAGACATCCCACTTCAGGCTCTTCAGTTTGCGCAGCGTCTTTTTCGAAACGTGTGGTCTGGCGTTGTCGTGATGAAAGACGACTCCCTTGCGATTTGACAAAATCGGACGTTTCTCTTTTATTTCTCGATTCAGATTGGTTAATTGGCGACAGTACTTGTCCGAATCAATCGTTTCGCCAGCGGGGAGAAGCTCGAAATAGATTATGCCCTTGCAATCCCACCAAACAGAGAGCATCACCTTCATCGGGTGCAAACTGGCCTTTGGCATTGCGTCACCATGCTCACCTGATTGTTTCCATGTCCGTTTGCGCTGAACATTGTTGTAGAGGACCCATTTCTCATCGCCCGTCACTAGTCGATCCAAAAACGACTCGTTATTGAGCCGCCCGAGTAAAGAAACGGCTGCAGAAATTCGCTTGATTTTGTTCTTCTCGGTCTGAAAATGGGGCACCCATATATCGAGCTTCAAATATAATTGCGACGATACACTAATATCGTCGACTGTGAGTAATGTTGCAAAGATCTTTATTTTGCCACAAAGTAGCAAAATTACATATATAATATATAACGGAACGATGAGAAACAAAGGGAAAAGTAAGGGAAAAGAGAAGAACGCTCGCTAGCATTTCTTGAAGATGATTTTATTCTCGGCTTAGAAAGGATATCTGTTCGCCACGAGATATTTTGAGAATAATTTCATATCCTCGAAACACACGCGGAGGAAGATATCACTTACGGGACGGCTTTGATTTTAACGCGTCACGTTTTGCACTCGATCGTACACTGAGAAATTTTTGGAGCGAGGTTCGCGGCGCGCAAAAATGTCTGAAAAGGAAATGCAAAATCTGAAGGATAATCAACGCTGCCGCGCATGCTATTACAAACAGCGTCGTGGAAAGCAGCGCAATGATATCTATATCGCATAGCTGGTACCACGGCTTATCGATCCCGTTAACTCGAAGATAATGCATCCTGCTCTTGTGTTTCATCACGTACTCTATCCACCATATCGCGTTCTCCATGCTGTCGTACGGTTGATCCTTGGCGAGGACGCTCATGCGTATCATGTTCTCTTTGTAACTAAATACAATATAAACATTAACAAGTGCTTCAATCAACAATGCTTTAATCTCATTATGGGCAAAGAGGATCTCTCGTCGACACGATTATTCGGTTTGTGCAGACATTAACTCCGAATAGAGATGTGCGAACTATTTGAATTCGAATCGAATCGAATCGAATCTAATGTAATTCGATTCGATTCAAATCCGAATCCCTGTGATTCCGAATCCGAATAATTCGAAAATTTCGAATCGCGAAGATTCAAATACGAATCAAATACATTAGCGTTTGCGCGCATCAGCTACAAAATGGGCCATCTGGGCCTGTATGTTTGAACCCTTAACTTGTAATTAACTTAACTTATAATTAATAACTTATTATAAATTATAATTTAATTATAAGTTACTTTAAATACTTAAATATATATTTTACTTTAAGATGTTATTACAATATCAATATTTCCGTTCATATTAAAATCTTCCATCATTATTTGCATGTTTAATAGCACAGCCCCACAAAAAAAAGTGGTCAGTGGCTAAAACCGGACAAGTATATTCTTATCTTATATATTTTGATTCGCTGAATCCGAATCCGAGGTCAGAATTGGACAATTGCTAGCTTCATCGTCCCTAACCTCAAAAAACTGATCATAACTTCACTTAACAAAATTAAGCTGTATATGGTCGAATTCAGCTTAAAAAAAAATGCTACAATTCTTGTCATTACAAAAATTTTCAATTTGCAAAAATAAAGATGGTGAGAGGGGGATATAAAAAATATAATATTTTTAAGAAATCTAACTACACAGTTGTGAAGAACGTCAAAAACCATACAACTTTTATCTGAAACATTTTTTTGTATCTAATAAAATAAATAATAAAAGTTGTATGGTTTTTGACGTTCCTTACAACTGTGTAGTTAGTTCTTAAAAATATTATATTTTTTTATATCCCCCTCCCACCATCTTTATTTTTGCAAATTGAAAATTTTTGTAATGACAAGAATTGTAGCATTTTTTTTTAAACTGAATTCAACCATATACAGCTTAATTTTGTTAAGTGAAGTTATGATCAGTCTTTTGAGGTTAGGGACGATGAAGCTAGCAATTGTCCAATTCTGACCTCGGATTCGGATTCAGCGAATCAAAATACATAAGAATATACTTGTCCGGTCTTAGGCATCGACCACTTTCTTTTTTGTGGGGCTGTGTAGTCATGTTACATTTTTTAATGATTTGATTCGATTTCATTCGATTCGATTCGACATAAAAATTCTTGATTCGCACATTTCTAATTCCGACGAATTAATTAGATAATTAATTGCCTATCAGATGTTTGTCTTAACAACAGGAAGCTTAGTTACACACTTATACTTGAAGAGTTGTAGAAATATTTCAGTGATAATAATTGATAATGATATTGTTGTTATCGCGCACCTTTTGTCACTGAGAATCCGTCGAATGCCCTCGTCGAGATTTTCCGCTGTTAATTCCTCGATTTTAAGATATATCGCTATACCTAATGAGGCCAATCGCTGAAGCCGAGAATGCTGATCGTATATAATGGGAAACCCTAAGAGTGGGACTGCATAATGGACAGCTTCTTCGGTGCTCTGCAAGCCGCCTTGATAGATGAATAGCTTGATATTCGGGTGGGCTGCGCGAGCAGGAGAATTAGCGCGTCGTATAAAAAGTTTATCGATCGCAAAATAATGACTTCGCACTTTTAATCTTACCGAGTACGCCTTGTTGCGGAAACCATTTTGAGATAAACACATTATCGAGCTTCCTACTCGACCACTCATCGGAATCGTATTTCCAAACTATTTTATAAGGTAACTTCGAAAACACTTCAACAAACTTCCCCAGCAGTTCTTTCGATAAGTTGCTCCAGCTCGCGGTGGTCCCGAGACTCACATAAATAAATCCCTCCGTCGCGTTGTCCAGGAATCGTCTCAAGTCCTAGTTATCAATTTAAATTTATTTGTGCGAGCTTATTATGAAATAATGGAGTTTGAAAACCGATAATTGCCGAACATTCCGGCCCATTCCGATATGAGAAGAGATATAATAATAATCATTTCAAAGTTTATACCCACTCCCGGCAAAGTCGGCGGTATTTTATTTATGTGGAAGCCGCTGAAGGATATCACATTCGGTTGCTCGGGTCTAGCATATCTCAATATTGGATTATCGTTGATCATCGTTAGGCTTATATTTTTCATCGCATCCATGACATTCGGCGCGTCGTTCCCGAAATATTTATTCGTAATTTCTTGCTCCATAATCATGAATTTGTTCGCCCAAGTATAAATGAACATCCACGTGTGAAAGAAATTCTGTAACTTTTGCCACATTGAGGACGCTTCTTTGACATAATTTTCCCAATTCGAAGGATGCGACGCAGCTATAGGATAACCACGAAAGTACCGTTGACAATTGTACATGCCCACGCTTGAGACTTCTGCGTAACGGGATAATCCATATTAGTTTGAAGACATTAGCATTAATTAGTAGTATAAATTTCGGATTGCGGTTATTATAAATGCCCCTCTGCTTCTTCTCTCCCAATATGCCGTATATTTGTCGGAAGATGAAATTCGCGTGTCGTGCGACAATTGAGTATTCGAAGCATTCGACTTGTATTTTCACTTGCATAAATTATTCGCGAGAGATTCTAGAACGATTTGAACATATTTTTCCTAATGAAATTGCAATGTTTCAAGTTGTCACAATTGAGAGACACTCGTACAGTAGTAAACGGTGATAACAGGAGCCGAAATATGTGAGACATTCGACGCCACAGCGGAAGATTACAGAAAGACATAATTATTTTTATTATATTCTCATACATTATATAGGAATATTATATAAGAATAAAAGAATCAATATTTACACCGCGAAACTGTCACACATTGGCTCCTGTTATAACTGACTACCATTCAAGCCCGTAAGCAGTGTCTCACTGTTCGAAGCATTCCAGAAGCGCATTCCGTTCGAAGCAGCAACAGAACAAGTACATACGAAGATTCTTGCAAACGAGTTTACACGCAATTCGTGGAGATTTCTCACCTATGACGGGCACGTTGAATCTTTGCGCCATAGCGTAGAACGCTGGACCGGTTAACGCTTCAATGATTACGGTGTCAAACTTCTCGTTATTGTCGTGCCTGTAAAGCTTTATCATTCCTGGTTCCTTAAATGCCCTTTGGTCGATATTGTTTAAAAATCTCATCAAGTACATGTTCTTTTCGAATAACGATAGACTCTTTGATTGTATGAACTCGTTAAACTCTGGGAGTACCTCTATTACAGCCGACACTTGGATTTCCGTATAATTCTTTAATGTTGGATCTCTCATCGGTCTCGAGGTCACCACTACCAGCTCATGCCCGCGTTTGTTCAAGGCGGTGAATAACGTCCGAAAGACTGCTTGATGACTGTACCAAGGTGATATCGAGATCGCGAGTATCCTTTTGCCGTCCGCTATATTATTCGTCGGTAGCAACCACAAGTATAAAACTATGCATATCGCATGAATAATCATCTGCATTTTATCGCGTTCTAGATACACTTTCTTCTTCTTGAATCTTCTTTCTCTCTTCTTCTTTTTTTCTCTTTCTTTATTCTTCTTCTTTTATAACGATATGAAAATTCGTATCGACTGTACTGTTTTTGCAGCTATTTTTCCACAGTGCATTGGATCTCTTACGATATCTTTGATATAACGCGTATATATATATTGGGTGAGTGCAAAAGTTCGTGCGGAGTTTCAATAGATGGAGTTATAAGCGTCGTAAAGTGTTGTCATTAATACTTCCATCTACATATTATATAACGTTGGAAAGGTGACGTCTTCAGCTGTTATTAAAAAAAAAATCATTTGTTTTCATACAAACTGCTTCGAGAAATATCACTTTAAAAATGAGTATCGATAAGGTGTATTTACGGCATGTTATGCTTTACGAGTTTCGGAAGGGAATAAACGTTGCCGCAGCCGTAAAAAACATTCAGGATGTTTATCAGGATGAAGCACCAGCTAAACGAACTGTGGAAAAATGGTTTGCTAAATTTCGGCGCGGAGAATTTAACCTTGAAGACGATATATATATAAACTCGTTCAAATATAACATAAATACTCAAGCGTATATTTCTGTGATTTTTGTAGAGGCAATATTATGAACAGCTTCTGCATTGTCTCGTCGATTGTTAACACTGTCGAAGTAAAACCGAACGAAGTAAAACTTTTATACCGATATCGTTATATCATTATGCATATAGCGCACATATTATCTAGACTGCTTATGTTAATATATATGCAAAAGATAAAAAAGATATATGACAATACCTGTATATCGTAATGATATACAGGCGTCGTATTTTAATTACCTCGATAATATTGCAGAAAATAGAAAATAGAAAAATCGGATGAAAAAGTATTTTTGCATTAAAGTTATTTGATTTGAAGGGAGATATAAGACAGAGCGACATCATATTGTTCACAGATGGCGTCACTTTCGAAATATTCACTGATCATCACTTTTCTTAAATGGAAACCCCATTTTTTCACTCGACTACTTTCTGCTATTATTCATCGAGGTGCACAATTAAAATTCTGTATATGTTCTGTACATTCTGTATATGTTGCACGAACATATTTTTTCTTTTGATGCAATCGAAATAACTCTTCTAAATTGACCCAAGTTTCTCATTTTTTAGCGAATATCTTTGAAAATGTAAAGTACATGGAAAAAGATTTTATACAAAAGCTTTATGGTATTTTATATTCTACAACGATTCACGTCTACCGAAAATGTCATATTTTTTAATTTATCTTCAATTTTTTTTAACTTACCTCTACTCGTTATCTTTGCAAAATTTAAGAATTTTGTGTCGAGATAAAACTTGAAGATTATTGAATGTCAAATTCATCCAGATATAACAATGATTTTCAATTAGTGTGCTGTGAGAGGATCTAAGGTGTGCCGAGAAAATTTTTAAGAATTTTAATTGTTATCTTTTTATTAAAAATTATAATAAATTATTTTATTTTATTTTTTGGCCGATTATTTTATTTTTTGATGGTGCATTTTGTTTGTGTTAATAAATATGTATTAATAAACAAAACGAGAAAGGTATCTTTTTTTTATGTTCTGTTTTTGATTATCATAATTTAAGTGTGCCACGGAATTTTAACTATAGATTCAAATGTGCCATGAGATAGAAAAAGTTAAAAAACATTGATGTATGATAATAATATGTCTCACGACTTAATGTTTGGAAACTTTTGAATAAATGGACTGTGGATAGATACATTATTGTACAATATATAGTATGTAATTACGAGTAACATGTAAATTACGTACAATATACAACTGCTATGAATGAATATTTATAACATCTTTATCTACGTTTACATCTATTTTTCGTGTAATACGTAGCATATTGTGTCATTACAATTAATCCGTTTTCATGTTGTAATATGAGAAAATATGTATAGAAAGCAGTTATTACGTACAGAACGCAACAGAAAAGAAATAACGTAACATACGCGTACCCCTATATCACGATATTATTATTTCGCTTTTCCAAAATTTGAATCGTGGAAACATAATGTATTATTATACATGGATGGATTTCGCATTTGATGCTTTTTAGTTTTTGTTCTTTTAAAAATCTTAAATTTTGCAAAAGTGATGGTTGGGAGTGGAGATAAATTAAAAAAAATTTGACTTGTTCGAAAAACGGGAATATATCGTTATAAAGAGTATAAAATACGATAAAACTTTTGTGCAAAACATATTTTCATACACTTCATATTTTTTCAAAGATATGCGCTGAAAATGAAAAAAATCTGTTCTTTTCGGTAAGTTGTCTTAATTCTTAAATATTGAAATACGTTATTAAAAATAGATGTAGGTCAAGTATTTTTATATATTTTATAATATATCCAAAGCTTAGTAAAAATTTATCCAATAGAAACGTAATATGTAATATAAGACAAAAAATGCAGGTAGTTTGAGAAATAGCAGCTCTTCAACTACTTAATCATCAGAACTTGATATTGAGAATAAAATATGAGAAATACGAGGCGACATGAAAATAAACGTTAACGAATGGCAACTGATTATCTTGTAAAATATAAGTCAATAAAATATTGGACTTTAACTTGAAAGATGCAGATCGCGCATAAAATAGTATATCTTATAACAAACTATTATTATTTTCGTGGTATTTTCACATTCATATATGGAATACATACGATACAAAATATTTGCAAAACGTATACAAAGTGTAAATGTACTGTTTTGACAATACATATTAACTTTTTATCAATCAATATTTTAGTTTCAAGTCAAAAAGTGCTTTGCATTTTATTCGGAGAATTGAAAGCTACGAAAAAGCCAAGGAAACTACAGCGTTCGCTTTTTAGTCAGTTACGTTGTGTTAGTCCTTGGTATGAGAAGTAAATTTTATTACATTATAATTTTTTCAATATTTAAGAGGGAGATAACATAATTTCGATAAATTAATCTTTTTGACACGAAAGTCGACCGTAACGGACAGTCGCTCGCCGCTCACTTTTTTATCTTGTTATTAATAAAGTGACTTGTATTAGGTGTACAAATGAATAATCCAAATTTTTTCAGCTACATTCAAGGTTTATTTTAAAAGAAAGTAAATTAAATTGTTCAATCAAAGTATTCGTCGTTGCTTTCTATAACTTTAAGCCAGCTTTCAGGCAGCTGATGAATTCCATCTCGGAAAAATGTTACATCTTTGGACACGATAAAGTCGTCAAGCCATTTTCGGATCTCATCCACTGATTGGAAGTGCATGATCGGACAAGGCGTGTTGCATC